CCTCACCCACACACCCACCAGACCCTGAGGGTTGCCCAAAGGTCTTTGTTCTGCTTCACAGTCTGGAGATTGCTGCCATTCCTTAGAGAAGTCTGTTTCATTGTCACCACACCACAATTTAGGGGAATGACACTCACTGGTTTCAGTCAACATTTCAGCCTCATATCAACAGCAGCAAGTTTTGGTCCGAGTCACTACTCAAGTGACAGAAAACTTGCACTGCAAAACCTGTGTCCTGCTCTCTGAGTGACTGAACAACCCTGGAGCAGGCACTGTGCCTGTGCACACCTCTGTCTCTCCACACACACTTTGCATGGAATGCTGAGACAGGCAGGTTTTCTCACTGTTTGTTTGTACAAAGTCACAGTGAGAAATAATGTCAAACTCCTCCAAGCAGAAAGACACTGCCTCTGACCATCACAGAATGTTAAGCGTTTAGAATGGACCTTAAAGATTATTTAGTCCCAACCTCCCCTGCCCTGGGCAGGGACACCTCTCACCAGACCAGGTTGCTCAAGGCTTTATCCAACCTGGATTTGAACACTGCCAGGGTTGAGGCAGCCCCAGCCTGTTCCGGTGTCTTATCGCTCTCATTATTTATCATCCTTGTTATTTAAACCACAGTGGGATCAAGATGACCCAACCACACCTGCCATTATTTGTTCATCCTCACCCATATGTCTGTGTCACTTTCTGCTTCGTGAAACAAAAATGCAGTGTCAAGTATCTTCTTCACCTCTGAGGTCTTTGCAGTGTTCACAATGAGCAGGTTTGGAGGGACATAAGACCTCAAGCCCCGGACAACTGCTTTTCTTGAACAGGATCAACAACCAAGCGAAATTTCTCAGCAAAGCACCTTTATGTTCACCCAAAGGTGAGCAGTGTCTAAGTGGATGCACTCAGAGCATCAGTCAGGCACAAACAATACCCTCCCTGGTCAGTAAATAAATGGGATCTGAAACTGGGAAATGGCGAATCTATTTATTTGCACTACCCCATGCCCCAAACAACCCTCAGCCCACCTCCAACTTATCCCCTTTCCCACTGCCTAGCTTGGCCTCTCCTGTCCTAAATGATTAATGCCTGAAATCCTCTCCCATTTATGCCTTGCAGCAAGTTCATTTTCATCTTGGCAGTAGCTAACCCACAAAGCCACCTCTGTCTGGGTTCAATTTAAATTAAGATACAACAGAGCTAATTAAGTCTTCTAGTGGGATATCAACCTAACCACATGAATACACAACTCTCCTCCAGACTCCTTTTCCACAGGGAGAGGCAGGGCACCCTTTTACAGTGCGCAGAGCACACAGACTTGAACAGGTTGCCTGGATTGCACTGGGCTGCAGGAGAGGCAGCAGTGTTGGGGCTAAATTGGGCAATTTAAGGCAATCAAACCCATTTGTCTAAAACCAGCCTGGAAGTCACATGGGTGGAACAGGCTCAGGGGTCTCAATCATTCCGAGAACTACTTTGTCACCAAGGAAGACTATCTCCCCAGCAATGTTTGGTCATCAGAGGGTATTTATGGATGTTGTGCTAACAGAAAACCTCGTTTGAGTACTCAATTAACCACTGAAAACCACTGCTCAGCAAATGAGGCAGTAGGGACCCAGCTGGAGGCCTAGCCCACAGCACAGCCCACATGGAACCTGTGAATAAGGAACCCACACACCCGTGGGGGTTGTCATTCTGGTAGAAGTGTCAAGGCATTTGGTGCTTCTGTCAGACAATCCCACCCCATGGAGCTAAGGGAAGAATTACAATCTGGTTTAGCTCCACTGGCAACAGGTATAAATTTGAATATTCAAGTTAATCATTCACTAGCCATGTCTGTATTAAATGACTCCTTAGCCAGACTTGCAAGTAAATAAGATAAAGATCTCTGCTGCAGAAGGGACAACTAGAAGTTTTCAAGGTTCTGATCCTAGTGCCTGTGTTTTGAGGGTTTTTTAACTCCCCCATTACTCTGTGAGAGATTTGAGTCCGGGCACAACACAACAGCTCAGCACAAGCAGCACTAACTGTGGGCTATGAGTCTACCCTTGAAGCTCCTTTTCTCATTCTGGAATTGAAACCTGATTGTTAGATGGAAACCAGAAATCCCTTGTGCTCACCACAGCTCCAAAGTCTGCAAGTGTTGCTTTGAGGACGTTTCCTAGAGTCAGCAGAACTGGCTCTCAGCTGGCAGAACACTACGGTGTTAACAACAGTTCCTACATTATTTCTATGACTGTAACAGTAACACAGGTTTGTCCAGGGCACCCTCACACCCTCCCTGAGGTCACTGCTAGTGATGGGTTAGTGAAGAAGACACTTCTTGGCAGAAGTCAGAGTGACCCAGAGCAGGCTCAGGTAACTTTTCCTGAACCTAAACACAGGCCCTGAGTGGAAATTCCACACACAGAACAGAAACTTACTAATAAAGCATTTCAACAAATGTAACAGTTATTTTAACAACAAAAACCAATTCCACTTGAGCTGCAGACGTTCAGAAGCCTTCTAAAGCCACAGAAACATTTGACAGGCAAGACTGAAGAATCCAGACTGGCTTGTTTTGGGTGTTTCTGTCTAAATTGCTAAATAACTTTGTTCTTCAGCCCTGGGTGCCCCAACTGGTCCTGTACTGCCTGGCACTGGACATCCCTGCATGCACTCTGAGCTCTCTTTCCATTGAATCAACTCATTCTTGTAACACAAAACTCTGCTGTGGAGGAGAGAACTTGTTATTTACAGCTTGAAATGGAGGCAGTAATTAGCCCAAACTGATGTATATTGCAATGACACAGAGCAAATACACAAACTCAGACAAATCCAAAAGTGATTCCAGGCCTATGCCACAGTCCACATAGTGAGCTTTGAAGCATGTAACACACCCTTTCCCAAGGGGGAAAAAACCTCCAAACCCCACACTAACACAGGTAGATCAGGGCTAGGCTAAAGGCTTTGCAGCACAGGGAGTCCATGACAGAAGGGCTAATCCCAACTAATAATGGCCACTAGTCACTGCACACACCAAGGATCCTGGGACAGACACTTCTCTCCACAGCTACACTGCTCAAGCATGTGCTCAGTCTCCAAATGCTTTGGGGTTCCTGTTGTGCACCTGTGCTCAGGCATCTGGAAAGACCATCCCAAAATATGAATAAAACTACGCACAGAAGCACAAAACAGAGGCAAAGAGCAAGAAGCTGTTTTAATTTGGCAAAGAAATTAAAGAAAACAAACAAAAGAGGGATGTCATTTCAAAGGAAACCATGTAAGAGCCGCAGCACTTGCATCTGATGTAGAGAAAGCTGCAAAAGAATTATTTATAAAGCCCAATGACACAGATTCTTCTATTGCTAAAGTGACAATTTAAGAGAAGATGAGCCATTTGCTCTGACAGTTTCACTGTTGGCCTTCAGTATTCGAACTTTTGATGTCTGGAGTTGAAAACAAAATATTAGTTTATTTTTTTCTTTCCAGGATGTGATCACATGAGAAGAAATAACCAAAGTTGAAAAGTTCAGACCTGTCCATTCTCTGTCTGTGAAACTGCTGAACATAATTAGCTTGAAAAACATGTTTACCTGCCAATGTGAGTGCCAGAAGCTTCTACAAACTGCAAGACAAGAAAAGCTGAAGAAAGAGCAACAAGCGTCTAATCAAGGCATCACACAGGTGTGTGCTCACAGCTTCTCACCCACTGCACACCAAAAAGACAATCTGATCTCCATTGCAAACTCCAGTGAAGCAAACCCCACTTTCATCAATAACTGAGCAGAAATCCTGAACACTTCACCCACAATCTGAAAGCAGAAAGAATCCAGTGAGGCGAATCGTGGTGATTTCATCTCTTTAGCAATAAAGATACTAATGTGTGAAGTTTCACCAGAAAAGAGACTGACGCTTACAGGGTGTGAAAAGGTGTTACTTATCATCACATTCTTGTCTATAACCACAGCACAGAAGCGCAGCTATGAACTACGTCCAGCACAGGAGGACTCATTGTCAACAACCTGCTGGCAGTAAGGCAAAGTGCTGCAGTCTGTGGTGATCTTCAGGTAACCAGCTTGATCCTGATCACCACCTGGATAACTGCTTGGAAAGAAAACTCCAGATTTTGCAGAGGTTACACTGGGGAATTAACTTTGCAAGAAACCAATACTTTACTCCAGCTCATTATTCAACGCAAGGTGTGGATTCTGTTTTTCCAAATTTAACCTGCAAGGCTAAGCAGGAAATACAAAAGCTGGTTTCTAGAAGTAAGGGAAGAGTATGTTGTGATGCACTGTTGGCACAACAAGCTGTCAGAATTCACCTCACAAGGAGGAAGATGCTCCAGTAAAAGGTAAATGGTATCTAGGGATCAAGGATGAAGTAGGAAGGGAATAATAGAACCACAGAATGTTAAGGGGTTGGAATGGACCTTAGAGATCATCTAGTCCCAAGCCCCTGCCCTGGGCAGGGACACCTCCCACCAGACCAGGTTGTTCAAGGCTTTATCCAAC